CACTAGAAAAAACTTAGAAAAGGAAACTACGCAACGAATCAAGCAGGAGGAGATTCAGGGTGCCGTCACATGCGGCGTAACTTGCGTAAGCGTAACTTGTGCCGACCAATCACATCGTTTCATTTAAGTATCAGCTTCCGCTTAGTTATTTTACGTTCTTTACGCTATTATCATTACGCCGAATCCAATTTCTGGCGGAAGAAACGCTGATATATGCGTATTTAATAATTGTGCGGCGTTTGTTAATTATTATTAATCCATATATATCAGCGTTTCTAAGTATAAATAAATAAAGATGAACAAGAATAATCAAAACAGGGTAAGTTAACAAATATCGAATTTATTATATAAAACTTAAAGCGTTCGATTATAATAACCGATCCACTGCTCACGGCATGTGACAAAATTTAAAGGTTACAATTGTATATAAGTAGGTCTTCGCACTTTTTGCATTTGAAATCTGTTTTCTCTTTCTCCAATATTTAACGTATATTTATTTTCTTGTTTTAAATGCATGAATTTGAGAATTTTAAGCAATATGAACATCTTAATGCATTGTTTTTTTACATTGCATGCTTAATCTTTTCAGTACAAATGTGGGTATTGTGGATGGCTGTTTAATTTCACTACTAATTTTTTCGAGCATGAATGTTTCAAGCATTATGTGGAGAATAAGGATCGCATATGTGTAGATGAAAATTTTGTTGTGACAATATGTTATGACAGTATGTTTACTGCATTCTTGTATTCTTTGCATATATATTTTATTGTATCATTTTATTTTATCATAATAATTGAATGTATTTCTTTGCTTAATAATCCAAGAGAATACAAAGACTGCGGAAGGTCCTGTGTGTGCAGATTCTTTGGATGAACTCTTGATTGAAGCAGTGAAGGCAAGAAAGGGACTTTACGACTATCGTATACCTGTTAATGAAAGAACCAATTTGCGTAAAAATGCATTGTGGGCAGAAGTGTCTAACACTCTAGGAGGTACTATTAATATCTTTTGTGAATATATATGTATTTTATACATTATAATTAAATAATGAAATTAAATTTTTAGGGGCTTTTAATCCAGAGGAGGCTAAGGCCCGCTGGAAATATTTGAGAGATAATTATGCAAAAGCTCGCAAAAAGGTTAAAGGCTACATTCCCAGTGGATCGGCAGCCAATACTGCTAGTGGACAAAAGAAGTCCAAGTTCAGATTTTACGACCTTATGACATTTTTGAACGACTTTCTTGAGACACGGCAGTAAGTTCTTTCTCTTCAATGTGCAAAAATGTTTCACTTTTTTTTTGTCAATTTGTAAAGGAAAATAGATATAGAAGACAATTTTTCATGTTCAATACACTCACATAGGATGCTATATGTATATATAAATATATATTTATTTCAGGACTGTGAGCTCATTGCCAGACATTGATGAAAGTGAAAAATATGGAACATTAGAGTCACACGAGGATGATAGTAACAGTGCTTTGGGATTCACCAATAGTTCTCCTTTAACGCAGACTACCATTGATGCTTCTCCACCGATACTGACTTCCACTTGTGTTCCTCTACGAACGCCTACACCAACTCTCGTTCCTCCAAGGACCTCAACACCCAGAAACGTCTCTCCACAAACGTCATTTAGTACGACTTCGCGAATACCGGCCACAAATGCGAAAAGTTAGTATATTTTCTTCTGTGTCCCTTGATGATATTAACTACACGTATCGAAATATGTATCGCTACAATAACATTGTTGCCTTGTTTTCAGGACCGTTGCAAACTGTTGACAACTATTTCGATGAAACCCGTTTTAGTTTAGAATAAAATAGTTTATTAACAATGAAAAGATTAATAATAATTTAATTTTAATATTAAAATTTTAATAAATTAAAAAAATAAATAAATAATATAATAAATTTTAATAAAATGTATATTATTTACGTTTCAAAGCAAAAGACTGATGTCCTGCAAACAGCTTTAATAGAAGCTTTAAAAGAGCCAACAACGCAAACTGTTGATCCGTTAGATGGGTTTTTAGCACGGTTGGGAGAAGGCATGCGAAGGTTGCCATATCGCGACAGAGCTCACCTGGAAATACGATTTTTGACGTTGCTCGCTGAAATAGAAGATCTTTATCCATCAACGCGTTATTAATTAAAAGGTTTTTATTTTTATTTTTATTTTGCTAAGCTGAATACAGACTCTTGACACGTTTCGTATCTCTCGATATTCTTTTCTGGAATGATCCATCCGTAGTTCTAAGTCTATATTTATTGTATTATTAAGAAAGTTCTTGTTAGATTTTTTATTTTGAAGTTAAATATGAATAAGTTTATTTACACACATTACGCTTATATTGATAAAAAAGTTGGATACTTAAATGTAATATAATGTGTACATACGTGTGCATGCGCAAGAAGATGAATGAAAATTGCAAACAATGTAAAACGATATTGTGATCTATGTAATAATCTAAGAACTTTTGAGAATGATAGCTCGATTAATTTAGGTTTAAAATTCCGTACGTAGAAGAAACGTTACTATTATTCAGTTATTAACTGTATATATAAATGGTAGTGGAGTTGCAACTTAATACAAATGTATCAATATCTTATGAAAATAAAACATAAAAAATATCTATTTATCTTCATTGTTAATATAAATACAACTATCTTTTTAAAAATCGTTGAGCAGAACTTTTTCCCACTGCCAGGGTACTGCCCCGTTGTTTTCGAAATATGTAGCAAAGTCATCTCGAATTCTAGAGGCAAGTCGGGTATAAGCGTTAGTTCTGTTAGCATTGTTCATTTCTTGCAATGCACCGCTTGTCATAACTCCCCCTTCACTGAGAATACGACAATAACGTCTTTCGGAGAGTGGCAATTTGTTTTCATTGTGAATCACGAAATTATGCAAGCATACAGTCGCTTGAACAATTTTAACTGCGGTGGAGACAGATGCGATTATCGGTCGACGATAAATTCGCCATTTCGCTGCCAAAATGCCAAACACACTTTCGATCATTCTTCGTGCTCGACTAAGACGGTAATTAAAGATTTTTCTTTGACGATTTAGACGTCCACTTCGTGGATACGGTCGCATCATGTAATGAGTCAAAGCGAATGCCTCATCCGCTACTAATACGAACGGTAATGCTGGGCCGGAAGCTTCAATTGGTCTCGGTTGTGGCAAATTTATTTGATTTTTTTGGAATCGCTGACCAAAGTTTGAATGCGTGAAGATGCCACCGTCGCTCTGTCTGCCTTCTCCACCAATGTCAACTAATGTAAAACAGTAATTGGCATCACAAACCGCTAATAAATTAATGCTATGATTCTCCTTATAATTATAGAAAGTTGAGCCACTATGAGGAGGTGACTGAAATAGAAAATGACCATTTTCATCTCTTAAAGTAAATATAAATACAATAAAGTAAATATAAATATAAGTATATTTAAAATCGATTTACCTGTATTATTACGTGCTTCCCATCTATCACACCTATGCAATGCGGAAAATTCCACTTTATTGCAAAATCATTCGCAATTCTCAGCCAATTCTCTTCCTTTATTTCAGGGAAAACTGATTTGTGGAGAGTATTCCACAATTCCTCACATGTCTCAGAAATAATTTTTGAGACAGTGTTTACTCCAATCCGAAAAGAATAGGCTATTGAAGCCATACTGTCCCCAGACGCTAAATACCGTAAACATACCAAAAGCCGTGTACGGCTTGATATTGGATCTCGAATGACATACTGCTTTTCAATGAATGGCCCAACAATACTCAACAACTGATGGAACATCTCTGTGGAGATTCGACAATAATTATAAAACATTTCGTGATCTTCAAATTCCATTTCTCTGACCAGATTGTCACTGGCACCTTGTAAAAATCTTTGTCTTTCTCTAAATATCGGGCGCACCCACATTTTATCATGAGCTTTTCCCTCTTCAATCATCAATTTCCATATTGCAAACAGTTTTAATATATGGCGTTTCCCAACTTTCCGATGTTGAAGTGTTTGCTTCATCTTCTTCCATTTTCGCCATCGTTTCCATATAATTAATAATACTATGTCAGGATCCATTATTACTTACGTACTTGCTATACGTACTTTTCTCGCTGTCCTCCTTGATGTTCGTATACTTCTAGCAGAACTTGACCTTGGCTTCTTAAAACTTGCCGAAGACTGCTTATAAAAAAGCAAGTTATATTATAGATAACATTTGTAAAAAAAACATCGGTATATACATAAAACTAATATTACAGATCAATGCAGAAGTAATTAAATTACAAGTTGGAACAAACATCTCTTTCAACATAGTTTATCTTTTTAAACATTAAAGAAAGGACAAAAAGGACATCTGCATTAATCTTTCTTCTTATGGAGCCTTAAGGAGATTAAATTTAATATTTTGATTATTAGAAATATATTATTACCTTAAAAATGCTGCTAAATGCAAAGCTGTCCTGCATCGACTACTACGCATTCGTCTTCTACGTTTATCTTGCCGGTTTTTATTAAACATGCACATTTTACGGAACCAAAAGTATCGGTTCCCCATGAAGCGCACTTTTTGTAACGCGTAGGTTACCAAAACCAATCACAAATCATATTTAGCATTTCTGTTAGAGCATACATCGGAAACTCTAATCTTCGATTGGTTGTATTAGTTACGCGTTCCGCGCAATACGCTCTATGTGAATGCCGACTTTCAGAATGGCGTAACTTTTATTAAATTACTAGATAACACTAGAATACGCAGATTACGCTTTACGCAGGTTACGCCTCATGTGACGGCACCCTGACATATAGATTTCCAGTGCTTAATTTCGGCATACCCAACAGCCGTAATCAAATTGAACAGAATTAAAGTGATTATAACATTGTCATAACCTCACTTTATGTAAAATAAAGATAATTAAATAATTGTATATTTGTTCGCAGGCAACGAAATGTGGCTATTGCGGGTTTATTTTACGAAGGTCATGTGGAACAATTTTAGACCACCATTGCTTCAGTACATACGACGAAAATGCCCACGTCATTAATGTTGACGAAAATGCCGTGGTCACTATGAGTAAGTTATTATATTTATTTATTTGTGTAGTTCTTGAGAAAGGTTTTATTATCCGTTATAAATTTTGTCTGTTACGGTAAACATTTTCGGTAAGTCATTGTTTACTTATTTATTTTAAAGGAAAGAGACATGAAACTGAAGATGTACAGCATTCGAAAGAAGGAGCTGTACAATCTACACAGTCTATACTCACACAAGATGAGTTGCTGATTGAATTTGTTCGTATCCGAAGGGGTTTGTGGGACCATTCCCTTCCGACCAGCGAAAGAACAAGATTAAAAAAAGATAGTTTATGGCAAGAGATTGTAAACGCATTTGATGGTAAGATCATTTTTTAATTACTTGTATGAATTATATTATCTGTGTATAAAAGTAAATAATAAACGATTCTTTATACAATCATAGGATCCCTGTCTATGGAAGCAATAAAGCAGAGATGGAAACACCTTCGAGATTCGTATATGAAGGCTAGAAAGAAAATGCGAGGATACGTGCGAAGTGGATCAGGGGTGGAATCTGGCCATCCATTACGAAGTTCTTTTGCTCATCACGAAGAAATGAGATTTCTCGACGATACAATAAAGACAGCACCGTAAGTATTTGCATTGTTTTTTATAACTGAGATTTTATAAATATTCAAATTGTGTGCAATTGGATTTAATAATTTGTAAAATCATTTTGATTTCAGGACTGTCAGCTCCATCCAGCACATTTCTGAAGCGAATTCATCCCATGTTGACATGGATAATATGCAAGTGGACATGACTGCAGACAACTTGATCGATTTTGATGATTCTACACAGAATTCTGCAGGTTCACCATCAGAATCATCACGAAAATCGTCATGTTTATCGCCAGGGGTGAAAAGGAAAAGTAAGTGGCAATTGTTTTTTTGGTTTTGTGTTTTTTAGGTACTTACCATATATACGCATATATTACAGATGCGCAAAGGCAAGCAGAAATCGAGGCTAAGTTTTTAAGTATAAAGCGGGGAGCACACACTTTCGCATAAGCGCATAACGCATAAGCATAAAGAAATGAGCCAATCAGGATCTTTTATTTTTATCCCCACTCCTTGTCCCGAGGAGCTTGCATTGTGCATACAGCATAATGCATAAGGCGTCGAAAAATTCGTAAGAACGAATTTTTTATGGTTATGGGTTGTGGTTGTGCAAGAGTCGATGAATTTTACAAGGGGTCTGTTCTTTTTAGCTGCACTGCTGCACTAGTGCAATAAGTTAAGAAAGAGACAAACATACTTTCTTTCACTCTAAACTAATTGCACTAGTGCAGCAGTGCAGCTAAAAAGAACAGACCCAAGATTGTTTCCAATCTTTCTAACCTTTTCGAAATATATCGACGTCATAGACATCATATAACCTCAATACGAGGTTAAAGACATTATTTCACCAACCGGTGATCAAACTGGAAAAATCCACTATCGACGTCATATAACTTCATTAAAAATCTCCTTCGAAATATATCTGAGAAGGTGTGTTTAAATATTCTTTATTATTATTAAATAAAATTCTTTGATTATCATAAAATTATTTTTTTTTCTATTATTAATTATATAAATATTGATAGGAAAATGGATCATGATTCATATTATTATGCTACATTATATCAAGATGAGGATGATGAAAATTTTGATTATGATGAAAATAAAAATGAAGAAGTGAGTGGAGATGCTTTGCTGATTTCTTTAGTGCGTGACCATCCTTATTTATACAATAAGGAACTGACGGATTTTAAAGATGCCATTAAGAAACAGAATGCTTGGGTAGAAATAGCAAGTATCATGAACATGACAGGTACGTACATAATGCCTTTCTACATATAGTCGATAGTTTTATGGACCAACTTGGTGACATTCTACGCCGACTATCATACGTACGACGTAGAAACCTGCAAAGAAGACTTATGAATATTGCTATAGAAGAGGAGGATGCCGAATTTCTGGAGAAAGGGAATGATAAGATGTAATAGAAATGTTCTTTTTTATTATAAATTTTATTTTAAATATTATAAGTATTAAGTTTAATATTATCAATTTTATTTTAAATATAAATTTTTCATTTTGTTTATTATAAAGAATAAAATATATTTGTGTTATTATAAAGAATAAAATATATTTTTGCATTCAGTTCATTAATTGTTGTACGAAGTACTCTGTATTATTAAACTTTGAAAATATATAAAAAGACTACGTACGAATGTTGTGTCGTAAAAAACTTTCGAATTATATACTTTTAAAAAATACTTTTACAAAATTATTGACAAGTGCGTTAAAATTACATGATGTTTCAAAAGTTGTTAGTTAAAACTTTGTCCCACTGCCACGATAGAGGATTGACATGCTCGAAATAATGTGCAAAGTTATCTCGAATTTTCACTGCTGCAGATTTTTGCGAAGCATTTCTGTAACTTACAGCTGTAAGTCCATTACTTGTAGCCAAGAGAATGCGCTCTTCTTCTTGTATATTACAGTATCTTCTTTCTGGAAATGGTAAGTCCAGTTCTTTATTAATAATAAAATTATGCAAAATAACCGTTGCTTGTACAGCTTTTACGGCAGTAGATGTGCGTGCAACAATAGGTTGACGATATATTCTCCATCTTGCAACCAAAATCCCGAAAGCACATTCAACTGTTCTTCTTGCTCGACTCAGGCGATAGTTAAAAATTTTTCTGCTGATATTCAGCCGTCGACTCCGAGGATATGGTCGCATCATATATGTGCTTAGAGGAAAGGCCTCATCTCCCAATAAAACGTACGGAAAATCAAAATCCATATTATTTAGACGCCTAGGTGGAGGAATATGGAGAGCATTCGTCTCAAGTAAATGCGGTAATCCGCTACTATCAAAAACACCTCCGTCGCTGTGCCTTCCTTCAGCTCCAATATCAACAATAGTGAAGCGGTTCTTGACATCACTTATTGCGAGCAGGTTTATGCTATGATTTCCTTTATAGTTGTAATAGCATGAACCACTACGAGGCGTGAAATTGGAAACTATCATTGTAATAAACACATTTTCATTCCAAATATATATATAATAAATTTAATAAATAATATATAATAAATTCCTAATATACATACCTGAATAACGACATGCTTCCCATCGATAGCGCCTATACAATTGGTAAATTGGCATGTTGTTTCAAAATCGCCTGCAATCATACTCCAATTTTCTTCAGTTGGATCAATCATAACTTTTTCCTTTAAGGAAAGCCAAATTGCTTGACAAGTTTCCGGAATAATTTGTGATAGCGTACATTGGGCAATACGATAAGCATATGATAACGATGTCATGCTGTCGCCAGATGCCAACCATCGTACAGTCACTTCTAATCTCGTTCTGGCCGGTATTAATTTTCGAACTACATTTTGTTTTTCAATTAGTGGTCCAACAATATTAAGTAATTCATTGAAGGTTGTTGGTGACATTCTAAGGTAGTTGAAGTATTTTTCCGGATCTGTCAATCGCATCTCCACAAGTAAATTGTCGCTGGCACCTTGCAGAAGTCTTCTTCTCTCGGTAAAAATAGGCCGTACCCATTTTACGATCATTTTTGCGTTCTCCCAATTTTTTGTAACGCAAATACAAATAAAACAATGAAATAACTTTTTTTATAGTTATCTCAGCATATCTCAATGGTTCATCTCTTGCTTGCATAAGATACTTCATAATAATTATTAGTATGATATTTGGATCCATTATATACAGCCACTTATTTTAAAATATAATAGAAGAATTAACAATTTTCTTTGTTATTCCGGTTCCGAAATTTAATGACACTTCAGAATACACTCCGCGAAGGAATGAATATTCGCGTTGACAACAGATTTTCGCGCTCGTTCTGCGAATTTGTTTGTCCTTATATTACATGGAGGACAATTACGCGGAAAAGCGGAACGATATAGTGACAAATAGGTATTTATATTCATTTTTAAAAATTATGTATACTTAATTCATTGCAATTTTTATTAATATGCTTACCTTATCAGCTTGTCTAATGAATATGAGCATTTTAATCAACAAATACAGTTAAAAATTAATATTTTATAATTCTCCGTTCCGCTTTTCCATTCAAAATATGCTCCATGTAAAGGTGCGGCCTCATTGACGCTAGAAACCAGCGGCAAATTAAAATTACTAGACTTTCTCTAGATTCAGCGTCAATAAAATAAAGTTCAAACAGTTTTAACTTTTTCAGCGTGTCGCAAAATTCAAGTGTAAGGGTCTGTTCTTTTCAGCTGTACTGCTGCACTAGTGCAATAAGTTAGAAAGAGACAAACATACTTTCTTTCACTCTAACTAATTGCACTAGTGCAGCAGTTCAGCTGAAAAGAACAGATCCATTGTGTAATTTGTAAAAAGTCCGTTACCGTCTTTGGACGAGAGCGGACGTGTTCTGCGCGTCCTTCGCATTTTTGTTTTAGAAGAAGATGTGTAATGTAATATTTGATGTGTAATTTGTAGAATTTGATGTGTAATATAATGTATATAGTGTATATAGTGTATATGTAATACAGATTAATAATGATTAATTACGAGAATGAAGTAAGTAATATAATAATATATTAATATTATATAGTATATGTGTGTGTGTGTGTGTGTGTGGAATATTTTGATCATTCTTGTTGTGCAGAAATAAGCTGCTTTTTTGGATATTAATAAGTCATGAAAACTATATTTTTAGGTTAGTTCGATATCTGCAAATATATGATGTGACGTGACGCTTTTGAGCTCCGTCACCATTGCCCTGTCGAGGGGAAACAGCGTGCACGGGGTCGTTCCTCGCGCCTGAGAGGGAACTTGAAATAACTATACTCTGATTGTTTAGACTTATTTTAGCTTTAATGTAAGATCCGCGAATAAAGTGCGGCTGCTGTGCGAGCGTGCGTTATCTCCTTTGTACATGAAGATACAGTAAGATACCGGAAGGAGAGGGAGCCGTATAGGAAGATACCGGATATACCGCAGAAGATACCGAAGATACCGCAAGAAAACAAAAGGTCAAGTAATAAGGTCCCGCGCCGCCGCTCTTTATAATATAATGGGAAATTAAATCTGCATTTTTTCAGATTGATAAAGAAACGGTAGCAAATCCAGACGACGGTGATGAGGGCAACTTTCCAGGCAGCTGACTGGAAAACAGAAATCTCGGAAGCAGACGCGGATACGGCCTGGCCAGCCGTTCACGTCCCCGAGAATCGGCATCATCACAAGTTACCGTCGCCCGTGGATTCTGAACCCCTGCGTAAGGGCAACGCCGTACAACAGCAGCAACTTTGGAAGGGGGCGGAGAATCAACCCCCGTTCATCCGAAATTGACGAAATGCGCGGAAGATCGGCGCGGGATCCGAGGACCTCACGGAAGCACTTGAAATTCGTCACTGTTCGGTGAGCTCGTGCCACGAATACACGTGTGACGAACCTCGAGGAAGCGACCCCGAAGGAAGCCATAGCCGACGATCAGTGTAAGCCGTCGCACAGGTAGCCTAATTATTGTTCATCCGGGATCAGTTGGCGTCGTCTAGAGATACCGTCGCAGGGCGACGAATATTTCGTAAAGCTACCGTGTAAAGTAATTGTACTTGTACCGTAATTACCGGACGCCAGCTGTCCCCGGGTGTCGCGGATTTGTTCCTCTCAGGGGGCTCGCGCCGACAGTCTCGTGCCGTACCGTAGAATTTGATATCGTTAATTACCGTTAAATGTTGTTTCGTGTCATATTAAGCGTGTAGGTACTGTTATGTTACGTGCCGAAATCTAAGTCCTAGCGTGACGTGGCAATTTTGGTCGTTTCGTATCGCATATCGAAAGGCGGGATTTGCGCGAAAAATTTCTTCGCGAGCGTGTGTTACCGTAAATGAACAATTCGCTCTGCAAGAATATTTGTTAACGCGAAATCTCCGCTGAATCATCTTCCTGTTACCGCTTATTCAAAAATTCTATTGTTCGACTGAGAGTCTTTGTTGCCGAGTACACAAGGTCGCGAGAAGACCGTTAAATCAAGCAAACAGTTCCGCATAAACATTGTTACCGCTACCGTTTTCCGAAGCCTTGGTTTTTCTGCCAAAAATATACCGTGAAATATTATCGCCGATTACCGTACCGTAAACTCGATTCGAGATATATCGAAATTTTTGAAGAGACGTGTGCCGTTGAAACGATACTAACAGGATACTCGATTATGATATTCTATTCATTATCCGTTACTGTTGAATAATTGTATCGCAAATTACCGTCAACTAGTGTATTTAGTTCTGTTCGATTAATATCGAGATTCGCGCGAGGCTCGTGCCTCGACCGGTGTTCCGAAGTCGTACGTGTTGGTTGTACGCCGACCGCGAGTTTTATCCTGTAGTCGATTACCGCTCATTATTAGTGAATTATTGTAAGAAATACCGTTCAATTTATATCGAAATCTTGCGGCGGGTCTCACGACTCCGGCCGTGTTTGGAAATTTGACTGAGTATCGTATCTCGCGTATGCAAGATTATCCCGCTGTAACTTATTATTTGAGCTTCCGTATCGCGAGTTGAGAGATATTATCCATCACTTTATTACCGCTTTCATCGTTGTATTATAGTCACACATTTTGAATAGACCGTTTTCGTTATCACTGACCTTCGCGTCAGCCGTTACAAGTCAAGTCCTTTGTCTTTCAAACTCGGATCTTCGATTGTTTATATTCCGAGATTTATCTGTTCGTTCTTAGTTTGTTTTTTTTTGATACCGAAAGTTATATATTATATGGATCTTATCTTTGTTATACCGTTTACTATCTGTACCATTATTGTTTAATATATTTAGATAATTATAAGTAAAATAACCGACTGTCGATTATTTCTCTCTCCTCAATACTGTCTAGCGCTCTCTCTCTCGACATCTAATCCACAGAGAACCCTGCCCCTCTGCCAAATACTGAGCCCGGGATTACCGGATCTTGCCGTTACCGTATCGTTATCGTGGCGCGGAAGTACCGCGCCTGGCGCCCAATTACATAAGTTACCGTATTATAAGTTACCGCATTTTCAGTTACCGCACGATACCGTTTCTCAGATACCCTACTGAATTTTTATAATCTAATTTTTATACCGGCCAAGACCTTGCACGCTACCTCCTCGAGATCGGCGTTCTCGAGGCGGGCAACGGCGTCGCAATGAATGATAAAACTTTTGTAGACGGATAGATCTATGTTTGGATTAGTTGGATATATTAAACAATTAATAATGATTTCTTTTAGGAAATTGCAATGGTGCAGACTTGCGGGGTTTGCGAAACAATTTGCTACCTCGCCGAAGTGTCCAACCACGAATGTTTGAAGGGATACGGGTGTTATGTGGATGCTGCGACACGCTATTTTTACCCGCTTTTAAGTATATATTTTATTTTTTATAAGTGCATTTTATTTTGTTGTCCGTATATTTCTAAACTTAATATTTTTTTTATATGTGATGGAAAAACGTGCCTACGCCGTGCCTACATTAACGGCGAAGAGCAAATAGTTGAGGCCGAAATTGGTGCAACTTTCAGCCAGGATATACGTAAGTTATGGATCAGTTGGCACAATAATGAACTCTTCTGCTCCTCTTCAATGAAATTAAATATTTTTTTATTTGATTTTAGTCGTGGCAGGAAATTGTCAATTGGCGAATTCCAGCTGTCAATCTGAAGAAAATCTTGTAAAGAATGTGGGCAGCAAAACATCTAAAGTTCCTTCCAAAAGAAAGGCCTCAAAGAAATTGTCGCTAGAAGAAGAAGAGCATTTAATTTTGGCCGTCCAAAATAGAAAACCACTGTGGGACATTAGCCAGCCGATAGACCAGAGATCCAGGGAAATCCGGAAACGACTTTGGCAAGAAGTTGCTGATGAATTGAATGGTGAATAAATAAATATATAATACAGTTGGAATACATAATACAGTTACATAATACAGTACATATGAAATATAATACAGTATAATACAGTACATATGAAATAACGAAAGATCGTTCTCTGATGTCGTTCGATTATTTAATGACACGTATCCGAACCGTCGAATTAATAAGTCCACTGTGTTAAAAACAATAGAACGTTTTAGACAAACTGGTAGCGTAAGAAATCGCTCTAAGTCAGGAAGACCATTGTCTGCAACCAACGAAGAAAAACAACTTGATGTTCTGCAGACATTTATTGAAGATCCCAATTCTAGTGTTCAGAGAGTCGCTCAAACTCACGATATTGCTCCCATGTCGGTTTGGAGAATTTTAAAGAAGAACAAGTTCCATCCATATAAATTGCAATACGTTCAAGAATTGCAAAACGGAGATGAGGAGCGTCGTATACATTTCTGTGAAAGAATGATGGCACTAATAGATGTCCGGCCCATCTTCCCTTATCAAATTGTTTTCACAGACGAGGCAACTTTTACCTTAACGGGAGAAGTTAATAATCAAAATTTTCGTTTCTGGTCAGATGAGAATCCGAATTGGGTGCGGGAAACTCACACACAACATCCACAAAAAATAAATGTATGGTGCGGAATAATAGATGGCTATTTAATAGGGCCGTTTTTTTTTGAAGAATATTTGAACGCTACGCTCAAGGTATGAGAGATTACTTGTTGATCAAATAATTCCAGCCATACAGAATACTTTTCCAAATAATTTCCAAGAAATATGGTTTCAGCATGATGGAGCTCCTGCTCATTTTGGTGCAGGACCACGTCGTATTTTAAATGAGACTTTTCCGCTACGGTGGATAGGAAGAAGGAACGGAAATGAGGGAGGAGAGGATTGGCCACCTCGGTCACCAGATCTAACTCCTCTTGATTATTATCTATGGGGATATCTGAAGAGTAAGGTTTACAGAACAAAACCTAAAACCATTCACGAATTGATACAGCGAATAAGGGATGAAATGGCTTTGATACCTTTTGAAACGAATCGTAAAGTCATTTCTACATTCTACCAAAGATTAGCATATTGTCAGGAAGTAAATGGCAGCCACTTTCAGCATTTACTTTAACACATTGAAACACATTTGCAATCGTTTGGTGCAACCTAACCTGATCTCTGTATACACGCACCGCACGCACGCACACGCACACATTTCGAACAATTATTATGATAAATGAGCATCCACAAATTTATTTACTGTTTACTATGTCGATTGCTTTCCAGGTCTTTAAATGCTCGATTGTAATTTGGTTGGGTCTTTGCTTTTGCTGACTGGATCCACGACCGATCTTGCCTTAGTTAGCTGGATCACACACACAACAGATGCAAATCCGAGCGAGTAACCTCCATGTAGTACACCTTGGATAATGTTAATACCGGCGCTACTCTATCATTCAACCCTCATAACTCGCAAAGTACTTAATAAAAATGAACATTATTATAGTGTTTTGGAAAGCTCTTGAATTAAGCTATAAGAATATGCAATCAAATGTAGGGGGTGTCATTTAAAAAAGTCAATGTGACCTTGACCTGACCTTGACGACGCCA